CCCCCCCCCCCCCCCCCCCCGCCCCCCCCCCCCCCCCCCCCCCCCCCCCCCCCCCCCCCCCCCCAACCGTTAGAGTAGATATCTATCCAATCGACACTGACTTCGCGTTCGACCGAGTCCCTGTTTATTCTAGCGTCTCCGCTGTGCACATGTGCCCCGCAAAATGTAACCCCAAATCGACAACCCGGATGTGTTCCCGTATCCGTCGACCAACCATGGAGTTGAACCGCCATCACGAAGAGAGTCTCAAAGTGGAGACGGTTGTACCTGACGTGAGCAATCATTTGCGCGATGCATCCTTACGAGCCGTACTAGTATTGATATTTTGTAGACTGCCCATATCGATGAGCGTCAACTACATACTCCCAAGCCAGCCTAGAGGCGTCGGCAACAAGAGAGGCGCCAGCGACGAGACACTGTGAAGTCAGAAAATGCTTGCAACTCGGACAGCGTTCACGAAGAAGATGCCTTCACGCAGCACTCCGCAAAGGAGGAGATTTCTATATTGTATTCAGATACTGGTACTGTTCGCGGGTCTCAAAGGATCACGATGTTCGCAACCTCCACAACAGTGTGAACCACGACAAGTTCATTCTCCAGCGCGCCGAGCTACAACGCCTCAAGAATCCGCCTTCCGGTCCGCCAGGCCCTTGAAGCTCATCAGACTCGTCAGATTCTTCCGGAAGCTCTGATTCAGGTAGTGAGACCATGAAGAAGGTCGGCACGATCGTCGCTGAGTTCGCAAGGGTGGGCCATGTCAAGACCTATGACACCAAACGGAACAATCACAAAGTCATTGGCAAGAACGGTCACAATGGCATCGTTGCGGCTCGCAACTACACCTCTGTGTTGGACCGTGTCTGCTTTTGCAACGAACGTGGGAGTCGCTCCATGGTCAAAAAGCAGTCTGCAGCAACATCCGTAGAGGTACCAGATCAGCTATGACTTTGAGCCTGCACGCGGAGCAAGACGCCGCGGAGCATGGCGCTCAATTGTCTACTGCTTTCACCAAGGAATTCTTGCTGTGTAGCGGCAACAGCTGCAGGAATGACCCAATCTAGTCTATGTATCGCGGACTTCTAGATGTCAACATCGGAATGTTCTGCGACCCTAGTTATGGGAGACATGACTTGAAGGTGCTGGATAACGTTGGGGCAATGGGCAAAGGTGTATGCACTTCTATGAGGAAGGTACGGCTTCGTAAGGCTCTTGGCCACATTTTGTAAATAACGACATGGATTTAAAGATACACTTTCAAACTCAATAGCTATATGACATGTCAAGATGTGTGCATCTATGTGTAGGTGAAAGTGGGGCAGATGATGACATAAACGCTGCACACGCCGCGGAGGAGCGACTTACCGACCTCGGGAGCTGGTTATCGACGGATGCGCACCTGGCATTGCGGGGAGAGTTCGGCTGTACACCCTGCTGCTATGAAAGGCAACCCGGATTCACTTTCCCTATAGCCGCAAGTGCCGGTTGGTTACTACGTGGTTTCTTCTTTGATTAGGTGCAATTCCTATTTCCTGATCCTGCAGAAGACCTGTTCAACTCCAAGTGCGTCTTCCAAGGTTGCGTTGAGCTTACCTTGCTCCCGATCATGTTCTCTCGTCGCGCGCTTTCACGCCTCCCAACATTGAGTGCTCGCTCGTCCGTCGCGCGCGCGGCCCCTCTTTGTACGAGAATGTCGTCGTCAGTCAGCCAAAGTAAAGTCGCAGCACGGCGGCTGCATGCCACGGCGCAGCACCTGAAGCCCGCATCGTCAGCGGCCGAGTCGTACCCCATGAACCACGAGCCAATCCAATCCCCCGCGGACACACCAAACTTCCTCGACAACAAGTTCGTGGCATCGAAAGCAACACAATGGATAGATCTACACGACCCCGCGACCAACAACCTGGTTACACGCGTGCCGCAGAGCACAGACGAGGAGCTCAAGGCCGCGGTGGACAGCGCCGAGAAGGCCTTCAAGCCATGGAAAGAGACCAGCTTGCTCCACAGGCAGCAAATTCTGTTCAAATACACACACTTGATTCGCGAGAACTGGGACCGTTTGGCTGCTAGCATCACCCTGGAACAGGGCAAGACATTTGGAGACGCGCGTGGTGATGTGCTCCGTGGCTTGCAGGTTGCGGAAACCGCATGCGGTATCACGACGCAAATGACTGGCGAAGTCCTCGAGGTCGCCAAGGACATGGAGACACGCAGCTACAGAGAACCATTGGGTGTTGTAGCTGCCATTTGCCCTTTCAGTAAGTGCACGACTGGCGGTAAATGAGGTTTGTGCTAATGTGCTACCCCAGACTTCCCCGCTATGATTCCCCTCTGGACCATCCCCATCGCTGCTGTTACCGGTAACACTGTCGTTATCAAGCCTTCGGAACGCGACCCCGGCGCTTGCATGATCCTTGCCGAGCTTGCGGAGAAGGCTGGATTCCCTGCTGGTGTCATCAACATTGTACACGGTTCAGCCAAGACTGTTGACTTCATCATCGACGAGCCCCGCATCAAGGCGATAAGCTTCGTCGGTAGCAACAAGGCTGGAGAATATATCTACTCGCGCGCATCAGCCCAGGGCAAGCGTGTTCAGGCCAACTTGGGCGCAAAGAACCACGCTGCTGTCCTTCCCGACTGCAACAAGAACCATGCTCTGAACGCGATTGCCGGTGCTGCCTTTGGTGCTGCTGGTCAGCGATGCATGGCTTTGAGCACTCTGGTCATGATCGGCGAGACCAAGGAATGGGTTCCTGAGATCGCTGAGCGCGCAAGGGAACTTTCGATGAACGGCGGTTTCGAGGAGGGCGCCGATCTTGGTCCCGTCATCAGCCCTCAGTCCAAGAAGAGGATTGAAGACCTTATTGCGAGCGCCGAGGAAGAGGGTGCGACTATCCTCCTTGACGGACGTGGTCAGAAGCCTCCGTCCGACAAGTACGCCAACGGCAACTGGGTAAGTCTTGCTGATAGGTGAGGATGATCGCATACTGACTGGGCTGTTCAGGTCGGTCCTACCATCATCGCCAACGTCAAGCCACACATGAAGTGCTACACCGAGGAGATCTTCGGCCCTGTCCTTGTCTGCCTGAACGTCGAGACCATCGACGAGGCTATCGACATGATCAACGCAAACGAGTATGGTAACGGTACCGCCATCTTCACTCGCTCAGGTGCCACTGCCGGCAAATTCCAGCGTGAGATTGAAGCTGGTCAGGTTGGTATCAACGTGCCCATCCCCGTACCTGTAAGTTTCCTTCGGAACCCAACGTAATGATGAAGGCTAATATCAGCAGCTCCCCATGTTCTCCTTCACCGGTAACAAGAAGTCGGTCGCAGGCGGCGGTGCAAACACTTTCTACGGAAAGCCAGGTCTCCAATTCTACACACAACAGAAGACAGTAACGAGCCTTTGGAGAAGTGAAGATGCGGTTGCGACGAAGGCGTCGGTCAATATGCCTACACACAGCTAGTGGGGGGACGTGAAAAAGGATTGAGCATATGTAATGGATATGATGAGCATATAGCACTCATGAACGAATAAATGATGGCTAGCGCGCAAGGGTCATGTTCACGGGGAGCAAAGTGATGCAAGCCCACCCGAGTTAACAGTGGGAATCTTGGCGCGTTGGAAACGTCGGCAAAGCCGCGCCGTGCCTATCGAAGTGCTTGACGTATCCTAGGTGACGATGATAGTATCCACAGCCCCGCGCGTAACCCATGTCGCGATCTTCCATGCCTTTTGTTAAAGATGGGATTTGACACACGAAGAACAGCGGCAAAATGCAAGCTGTCCATGTTTGTCAGAGATTCTGCAAGAGTCCGGCTACGCGGCTAGGTTTCTGCTGGTTGCTGGATTGAAGGGACGCCTCAGCCACTAGTCTGCATGGTGTACCATAGATAGCATTTGCGGGATGCACGACGAAGATCAAAGGTGCTGCGACAGCAGCGCAGGTGCCGTGGTAGCCAGATTGTGCTGTGCTGCGCAATTAACAGGTGGTGGTTCTCTTGAATGTAATTGAGATGGTGAATTGAGTTTCGCGGTGGCTGGCGTGGAGGTGCGGGTGAGAAGATAGCGTCCGCTTCCGGAAGTAAACTATTGACGCTGTCTAAATTTGCCAGCTAACGGGAGATACGAGGGGCGTTTGGGTTGAACTAGTAGGCTGTGCAGTGAGACTTGACCCTCCATTATCAGATGAACGGACGGTCGCGGTGGAGTGGGAGTATCATTGTAAAGTAAGGCTGGGAGAAGTGCACGGCAGAGCGATAAGAGTAGATAGACACCCTTGCTCGGTACTTTTGTTTCAGAGTGGGTGATGGTGATATTCCCCAACCGTTTAGTCTGGTCGTGGCTTGATGACGAGTCGCGTCTCGGCGTCGAAGAGTGAATGGACCGCGCGTCACTACCTAGGTACGTTGTCTTACTACGCAGCCTAGACTTGGTCCGCCTTCGTGTGTTAACACCCAGTTTCCATAGATCTACCGTCACGCATTCTTGATCCTTCATCAATTTGCTTCCGCGACATCTCTCGTCTCAGTTACTGCGATACGCCGCACGCTCCACTTGCTCACCACGCGCCACATTACAGCTCCAGCTCCACCGAGTTACCCGGCTCGCACGACTCGTTAGACGCTCCGCAGAAAAAACTGGGTATCGCCCATCGTTGCAAGAATGGAGCAAGCGGCACAGCAGCCATCGCGCCCGCGCGGTCTCAGCTTCCACAGCAACAAGAGCAACAAGAGCCGCGAGACTCCCGCGTCTCCCAAAAGCCCGACCAAGCACCAGCGCAAATACTCTGACCACTACGACCCAAACTCAAAGGCGAACCCCAACGCCGCCATGAACGAACAGCAGCCCAGTATGCCGTCGTGTGCACCCTGTCTATCTTATCGTGGCTAACGTCCCCCAGTCGCCGAAGCCCTCACCAAGCCCACT